ATGTAATTGAGAGATGAACAGAAGGAGATGAAGGAGAGGGAGAGAGATCGAGAATTAATGAGGAGGAAGCAACAAATAGTGGTTAAGAATTTTCCCAAACTGATGAAAGACATCAAAATTCTTTATAAAATCAAAGCAGGGGGCTGGGGAGATAGCTCAGTAGAATAAGCGCTTGCCTGGCAAGCACAAGGTCCTGAGTTCAATCCCCAGTAAAATAAAATAAAAAATCAAAGCAGGATAAATAAATTGGAAACTGTACAGAAGTTAATTTTACAAAGTCAAAAATACAATTAATTTTCTAGCATATAACGATAACTCCCATTTTAAACACTAACTTTGTGAGAACTATTTAATTTTTACTCCTGAAAGTTACAATTATTATCTTCACCTTGAAATAAAGACTCGAGGCTCCAAAAGCTCAGGTCAGCTGCCCCAGATCGTATGGCTGGGTGCAGAGGACCTCGGCCTCCGAGTCCTTGTGTCTGACTGCACAGCATGGGCTCCTCACCTCCACGCTACCCTGTTCCTTCAGGAGAGGTCCAGGCTCTGGTCTCTTATGTCCTCACTCTGGACTCTGGCCGTCCAAATTCCCGTGCCATCTTTGACAAGACCAAGAGTAGCTCATACAGACAGAACCAGACCCTGAGGCTGATACAGAGATGTGAGACCCTGGCCCTGCTGTTACCGGTGAGCAGGCTGGTGGCCGTGTCCCTGGGCCAAGAATGAGGTGGGCTTGGGAGGGAGAGGAGGGCAGCTCCCTTAATGCCCCGTCTCTCTCAGAAATGTGTAGATGACTCGGTGAGCCCCATTGTCCTGCGCCTCAACTATACTCTGGTGGGGACACCCATAGCCTCTTTCGGGAACCTGCGGCCAGTTCTGGCTGAAGATGCTCCGAAGTTTTTCATCGCCTTGGTGAGTCCTGGGGTTGGCCCTGCTGGGGGATGGAAAAGACAGGAGGCTGATTGCTGAAGCTTGTTTCAATATTTTATTTTGTTGTTTCATTTCATTACCTCCTCACCTCTCTCTTATCCTATTCTTCTCAGTTTCCCTTCGAGAAGAACTGCGGCAATGACAACATTTGCCAGGATGACCTCAGTGTTGCCTTCCATTTGGCAAAGTGAGTTTCTTTTCCTCAGCACCATCTTCGTGTCTGCTTCATGATGTGGCGCTTGGTTCTTCTCCTGGCTGAGGAGACCTGCATGGATCCGCTCCTTCAGAGGCATCTGTGTGCTGTCCATCCATCTGTCGCTTCTCTCTGCAAGTGCCTGCGCCCCCTTTCTGCCAGGACAGACTTGCCCCAGGGCAGCCCTTGGAGCCTCACTGGTGCCGCCTTGTTACTCCCACAGACTGCAAACTGTGGTGGTGGGCGACCCCCAGGGCCTCAATGTGACGCTGACCGTGAAGAACGAGGGCGAGGACTCCTATAGGACTCAGGTCACCCTCTACTACCCCGTGGGCTTGTCCTATCGGAAAGTGTCCATGATCCAGGTAACCAAGTCCTCCTCTGGCCCTGTGCCCCTTGCTTTCCATGTCTCCAGGGCTGGGCTTGCTGACATCCCACTTGCCCCCAGGGCCAGCGCTCCCGGCGATCTTGGTCCTTGGCCTGTTCGTCTGACTCCTCCACCGAAAGACCTGGATCTCTGAAGAGCGCCAGCTGCAGCGTCAACCACCCCATCTTCCCAGACAACTCTGAGGTCTGAGCCACTGTTTTTCCCCCCTCCTGTTCTCTTTTGTCTTCTGGGATTCTCCTCTTCCTTTTCTTCTCCTCTTTTTTGCTTTCTCCTTTTTTTTTTTTTTTTTTTTTTTTTTTTTTTTTTTTTTTTTTTTTTTTTTTTTTTCTTTTTTTTTTTTTTTTTTTTTTTTTAGTGAGGGTTCCCTTTTTCTTTCTTATAAAACAGCTTTATGGAGACAAAACCCATATATACCATAGACTCATCCACTTAAAATATACAATTCAGTGGCTTTTAGTGTATTCCAAGTGATACATTTTTGAAGTCTTACCATTGGCCCCCCACCCCCAGCCTTGGGCAACCCCTCATTCCCTTTGCCTCTATAGATTTTCATACTCTGGATTTTTGTCTAAGTGGACACATACAGTATGTGGTCCCCTGTGATGAGCTTCTTCCAATTAGCATATTTTCAAGGCCCAGCCACCGTGGAGCACTTAGTTTCTTTGTACGGCTGGATACTATTCTGTGGTGTGGATTGGTGGGATTCTGGTGACCTTTCACCAGCTGATGGCTGCGTTGTTTCCGCTCTCCCATTCCTATCACCACGCCCCCTTTCTCCAATTCCAGATCACCTTCACTATCACGTTTGATGTAGACTTTGCAGCTTCCCTTGGAAACAAACTACTGCTCAAGGCTAACGTGACCAGGTACACTGATTCCTCACCTCCCTCCCGATTTTCTGTTCGGATCACTCATTCATTCACTGAACAGAGATGAGACACACCAGGTGCCAGGCCTTGTATGGGTGAGAGTGGGGCAGTAGTGATGAAGGCGGCTGTGGTTCCTGTTCTCCCAGACAGGAAAACTGCTGAGGGTGTCCGGGGTTCTCGGAGCTTGGTTTTTAGAAAACATTTCTGAGGAAGATATATGGAGACAGAAAGAAGGAAGGAAGGGTGTGCCAGGTAAAGCCTGGAGGGTGGGGAGTTAAGGGCGCACTCAAGCCAAGAGCATGGTTAGGTAAGGGCCAGGTCACAAAGCGCGGAGAGGTTTGCAGTTTAACCTACAGGGGGACATGATTATATTTCATGTTAGAAAGGTCCTTCTCTAGGAAGGATGGGGTCTCAGTCACTTTCTTGTTCCTGGGACAAACTCTGCCTACTGTGCAACTTAAAGGAGGAGAGGTTTATTTTGGTTCAGTTTCAGCCCGTGGTTGGAAGACTCAAATGCAGGTACAGCAAGGTGGAAAGGCCCGTGTGGAGAAAAGTGACTCACCAGGAGGCAGGAGGCAGGAGGCAGGAGGCAGGAGGCAGGAGGCAGGAGGCAGGAGGCAGGAGGCAGGAGGCAGGAGGCAGACGCAGAAGGGAGGGCCCCAGGGGGAGGGCACCCTCCGAGGCCACGCCCCCAGCGGCCCCTCCAACCAGCCCCGCTTCCTAGCTGTGGATCCAGCTCTGAGCTCATCCGAGGATGAATCGGGCACCTGGTGGCGCAGGCACCGTCCACAGGTCTCACCTCTGAACACCGAAGGCATTGTAGGGACATCCAGAGCTACACCGTGACAGCTGGGAGTTGGGCTGCAGCCGACTGGACGGCAGAGGACAGGCTGGAAGGTCCCTGTGGCCATCAGGGCGAGCAGAGCTGGGTGTGGGCCACGAAGGGCCGAGGAGTTAGCAAACAGTGCGCTTTGGGATTTGGAGAGAACAGGTCTTGCGGAGTGCCGGGAGTGGGAGTGGCGGGTGAAGGCGAGGCCAGGAGGCAGGGCCGGCGGCCTGTTCTCAAGAGTGGGCTAAGATTGCGCTTTCCTTTCAGTGAGAACAACATGCCCCGGACTAACAAAATGGAATCCCAGCTGGAGCTGCCTGTGAAATACGCCGTCTACCTGATAGTGACCAGGTGCTGGGCTGGGGACTGTAGCTGGGCCCACAGCCACTGCACTTCTGTGTGTGTGTGTGTGTGTGTGTGTGCGCGCGCGCGTGCATGTTGTCTATGTGCGTTAAGTGGCCCAAACTGGCACACACGGTGTCCACCTGCCTCCCCTGAAGGCCACATTACCATGAGCCTGGGTGCACCTCACACACAGCCTGGGGCCCCCTCCCACGACATCCCTCATCTGTCACCTGCCATCTCTTCTTCCTCTCTTTAGTGGTGAGGCCTCTACCAAATATCTCAACTTCACGGCTTCAGAAAAGACTAGCCAGATCATGGAGCACCAATACCAGGTGGGGAGTGAGGGCAGGAGGGCAACTGGGGTGGGGAGAACACAGAAAAGATGTGGACAACATGCAGAAGGGCCCGCTGGGTGCTGGGCATGGCAGAGAGAGGAGGATGGGAGGAGTGAGGAGGGAGGGGAGAAGGGAGGAGGGAGGAGAGAAAGGAGGAGGGGGAGGGGAGAAGGGAGGAAGGGGAGGGGAGAAGGGAAAAAGAGGAGGGAAAGGAGAGGGTAGGAGGGAGGGGGAGGAAGAAGTAGGGGAAGGGGAGGAGGGAAGACTGCCGATTCTCACCATCACACATGGTGATGACAAGCTCCTCTTGTCTTTGTCATGCATGTGGAAGGCGCTGTTGCTCTCCCTGGTTTGCAGATGGGTACAGCAGGGGTTGGAGGGGTTAACAGCTTGTCCAGGTACTCACAACTCATAAGTGGAAAGGCTAGGGCACAAGGCCAGCCTGTCTGGCTCTCAAATGTGTCTTGAACAGTTACACTCTCCTGCCTCTTGGAGAGGGACAGGCCATGGCCCTTATCCAGGGGTCCTGGGCTGTGGGGACTGGGGGGCCATATCCTGTGTCTCATGGGGGTAGTGCCATCAAAGCCTGACCCCACCCTTTCCTGGTCTAGTTCAGCAATCTGGGCAAAAGGAGCCTTCCCATCAAGGTGGTCTTCTGGGTTCCTGTGCGGCTGAACAATGAGATCGTATGGGACCGGCCTCAGGTCACCTTCTCCCCTGTGAGTTCAGCTGGGCCTGAGAAGTGGGGCGAAGCCCTCCCTCCACAGCCCCAATCTTGCCTGAAATACTGGAGGCTCTTCTGAGCCTCCCCTGGACTCTGAGAATGGGTCTGGGATCTCTCCTTCCCTCTCTCCTCACTGACTGTCTCTTTCCTCAGAATCTCATGAGTGCCTGCAGCACTGAGGAAAGACCACCTTCTCACTCTGATTTCCAGGATGTGCTTAAGAAGACCCATATGGTGGTGAGAAGCGGCCTAATTTCCGCCTGTGGGCTACACGCAGCGCCCCTGCAGCTCCTCACCGATCCAATATGGTGTCCCTATTTCCTCAGTCATTTCCCACCTCCCTTCCCTTCCCCAGCAATGCTCCATTGCTGTCTGCCAGAGAATTGAGTGTGATATCCCTTCCTTCAACATCGAGGAAGAATTCAATGTCACTCTCCACGGCAACCTCTCGTTCAACTGGTATCTCAAGGTCTGTGAGGTCCTGGGCCTCTTGGGGCGGGCACTGCGGTGCTCCTCGGGGGCCCCTGGCCTGACCCCTACTCTGTTCTCTTCCACAGACTTCAAGTAATCACCTCCTGGTCGTGAGCACAGCGGAGATCTTGTTTAACAACTCTGTGTTCACCTTGCTCGCGGGACAGGGAATGTTCGTGCGGTCCCAGGTAGCTGTCTTGGGCACAGGGCACAGGGCACAGGGCACAGAAGGCCTGCGGGAGGGCGCAGGGCACCAGGCCTGTGCAGGCCATCTTTAGAGCTGGGGAGGAGGAGGAGAGAAGCAGGTAGGGAGGGACAGGGACCAGTGGGTACTGCGGGCACGGGGAAGGCAAAAGCTTTGGAGTCAGGGGCACCGGCTCGACTGGGGAAAGTTCCAGAACTCGGGGTCTGTCTGATGCCTGTCTTTTCTCTGCCTCCTCCCCAGACAGAGACCAAGGTGGAGCTGTATGAAGTTCACAACCCTCTTCCGCTCATCGTGGGGAGTTCCATCGGGGGGCTGGTGCTCTTGGCACTCATCACCGCGGGGCTGTACAAGGTGTCCCCACTCGGCCCTTTCCCTGCCCGTTCCCCTTCCTTCTGCAGCAGCTTCACTGGGGGTTCAGCTCCCCTCCTTGCTGCTAGCTGTGCAGCCTGGAGCATGCTGGAGCCCCTCGTTGCCTCGGTTTCTTCAGTAGCATCAACGCCCGCTTTGGGGACATGCGGAGCTCCTAGACTGGCTGCTCAGTGATGAGCCACAGTCCAAGGAGAGTTTGTTCCGTTTTTGGAGACAGGGTGTTATTATGTGGCTAAGGCTGGTTGTGGACTCACTGCGCAGCCCAGGCTGGCCTGGAGCTCCTGCGATCCTCCTGCCTCAGCCTCCTGAGTGCTGGGATTAGTGCACTGCCACACCCAGCCGGAGGCATTCTTGTTATACTCTAGGTTTCCTTCCTCACCCCTATGCTGGTGCCCCCCCCCCCCACTTGCCTCAAGTCCCGGCCATGCAATTTCTGCTCACTGGGGCCCCTCCGTTCCCCTCCCGCTCTGCATGACCTTCGGTTGCTGCCCTGGCTCAGTGCTCCTTACCTCTCTGTCTCCATCCCGCAGCTTGGCTTCTTCAAACGGCAGTACAAGGACATGATGAGCAATGCTGGTCCCCAGGAGGCACCACCCCAGTAATGGCTCCTCCACCACCGAGAGGCCTGGGAGAGCAAACAGGGCTTCGTCAGAGCAGCAAGCAGGCCCCTGGGCTGCTGGACGCACATGTAGGAGACCGTGGCAGGAAAGGCCTGCTTGAGTTTCCATTGTGGGGTGTGTGTGTGTGTGTGTGTGTGTGTGTGTGTGTGTGTGTGTGTGTAGTCTGTGTGTGATCGCTGTCTGTCGCATATGGGCAAAGTGCCTCAGCACATCTCTTGGGCTCCTGCATATTGAGGAGAAGTTGCTGCTGGGCCTTCCTCCAGGGGGAGCTGTGGCACCCTTCTGGGTGAGCCTAGTGGGAACCGGAAGCCACGGGAAGCCGCCTGGTGGGCAAGTGTGCAGGCTTGAGGCAGACCTGGAGCCGCCTAGCCCATGGGAGTCCCGCCCACACCAGAGGCAAATCGTGAAGCTCCCTTTTCCTATTCATCTTACTTTTATTTTTGCATCAATAAACCTGTCCATAGTGCCCAAAGCAAAAGGCATTCAGGGGGTGTGATGGAAAGTCTTCACGGCTCTTAAAGTCCCTTTGGAGGGGCCCTTAAGCTGTGCATTTTGGGGTCTCCTGCAGGAAGATTGTAGGCACGTGCAAACACATACATACATGCACACTCAGGCTGCTTTTTTTTTTTTCTTTACACACTTGGTAGCGTAACTTATGCTGTTCTTATCTTGCTGTTTTCATTAATACAGCACAGACTGTTTCAGGACACAAACTTATTTCTCTTTTATACAGGTGTATAGTATTTTACTGCATGAGTGTCATTATAAATCTAGCCAGTCTTCTTTGGATATATTATTTGCAACTTCTCATTGTTACAAAAAATAAATTTGGACATATGTTGTTTTTACATATGTGTGGAGGATAATTTTTAGGGCACATTTTTAGAAGTTTGAGATCCCCCAGAAGCAGAACCAAGAAAAGGATGCAAGTGAAAGAAGTTTACTTAAGAGATTTTTCCTTGAAATACTCACTAGGCAGGGCAATGAGCTGGGGGGAGCGAAGAGAACTGGTAGCTGTCGCCAACAGAGATGACACTGTGAGGCCTGGACCCTGGCCTCACTGGGAAGCTCGGGGAAGCGAGGGACCTTAGCATTATCCCCCTCAAAGGGAAGAAGACTGAATTGTTGTTATGATTCGTATCTAAAGGTTCCCCCAAAGACTTGAGTGAGGCCTTTGGAAGGTGGCTAAATCATGGGGTGCAGTGTGTGTGCGCCAGTGGATTTATCCATGGTGTGTTCAGCAGCTGCGTGAGCCCTAGAAGGTCTGGCCTGGAAGGGTGAAGGTCCGGCTAAGGGTGTGGTCTTGTCCCCAGCTTCTCCTTCACTCTGTTTCCTGGCTATGAGCAGCTGTCCTCCGCTGTGCCCTTGTACCACGCAGTTTCTTCCATTTAGTCCCTACTCTGGACTGAACCCACTGGGAACTGTGAGCCTCATGAGCACCTCCTCCTCTAACCTGCGGGAGTTGGGTACTTAGTAATGGGAAAGTGCTGATTCAGGTACATGATACCATCTCCTCCTCGTTACCAGCTGAGGGCTGCTTATGGTGGGAAGGTGTTAACGCCCTGGCACTCTGGGCCTGCCTCACACGAGGGCAGAAAAGGAGCCACAGTGGCACCAGTCAGAATCTAAGGGAAGAGCGCAGGCCTTGGCAAGGCCCCCGGGGCTATGGGTAGGACCAGCCGGCCCAAGTGCGGGATCCTCTGCCAGGTGGCCCTTGTCCACCTGCTAACACGCGTCCTCTCCAGTTTTCACACACTGGTCCTGCGAAGTGCCCTCTGCGTTTCATTTCTGAGGAGACCCAGGTAGGCTTAGCCTGCCAGTTGCCCACGGCCAGACTGATAAGAAGAGACAGAAGCTGGAATTTCAACCCAGCCCTGCTGGCTCTCAAGTTTTCCCTCTGCTCTCCCGGCAGCCTCAGGCCAGTGACCCTGAAGCAGGCATTGTGGGAAGAGTGACTGTTTTTCTCTGTTTCTATTTTTTTAGTTGTTGTATTGGTCTGAACCATATGAAATGGTTGATGTGTTAAGACTTTTTTTTTTTTAAAGGAGTTCGTTCCGTCTTACTCAGGCTGGCCCCAAACATTTCTGCTCAAATTCTCTTCCTACCTCAGCCTTCTAAGTACCTGGTGCTACAGATACATGCCTTCTTCTTTTTTTTTTT